GAAAGGCTGCTCTGGGAGCAGTGCGGCGTGTGGGGGGAGTGGGGGGAGGCCGGTGGCTGCAGAGAGATGGCGGCAGAGCGGGGAAAGGCTCGGACCGGTGCTGAAATGCGCGTTCCTTTGGCCGGCCCGGGACAGGAGCACGCTTGTGGTGCCCGGGCTCCTGTTCCCGGTGCTGTGTCGGCGCGGCCTGTGCTTCCGAGGAGGGAGCCCGCAGGCCTTGGCCGCGCGGTCTGGAGTCGGCCCTGCAGGAGACGCGTGCGGTGGGTGGCCTTGTCGCGGGGTCGGGCGGCAGTGTGGTTTGTCGGGCTCCGCTTAGCGTGTGATCTGCTTCTTCCTCACAGAAAGGGCTTGTCCCAGTCAGCCTTGCCCTACAGACGCAGTGTGCCTACGGTAAGTAACTTCCCCGCCCCTTGCGCACCTCGGCAGGCCCAGGCGGCTGCCTTGTGGCTTTCAGTCTGGTTCCCATAGTGCACCTTAGTACTGCCCGGGAAGAGAAACAAAACGAAGAGAGGTGTAGTATTTTGTGTCATAATTTCTAAGTTATAGCCTTACTATATGCTACCTTAGCCTGTGGTCATTACCATACTGAGAAAGCTGGTATCGTTTCCTGGCCAGGTAATTTGCTGGGTGAAAAAGTGACATTTCCTTGTTACACCTCCTCTTACTTAAATGATTTATTTTTAGTCCGTATGCTGATAATTTCTAGAGATTTAATTACTCTTTCGATATCGATTTTGGTCTTTGTCATTGTGGACAAAACGTGACTTTTCTAAACTATTTACAATAATAATTTGCTGGTCAAAAGCAATAACTTAAGTAATTCTCAAACTCACTTCATTCAGGGTACTTCCACTCATAAGGCTTCCCTGTCAGCTGAGTGAACAGCTGCTTAACCTGTCTTGCTTTGCAAGACTGTGTCTTGGAAGACCTATTTGTTGGCAGAATTTGTGGTGCACGTGGAAAAGTATACACTGAAAAAGAGTTAAATGTGAAGAGGAAATTTAAGCCCAAAACATGAAAATAAAGAGATACAATTTTAAGTAAGATAACGTGAAGCTGCTTGAAGTACTGCTGATGGATAAACAGTTTAATAATGATTAGGATGCTAAATGCTGTACATTTTTAAGAAAACTTTTTGCTTAGTTTTACTCGTATTCCGTTTTGAGTTATAATCCATAGAGCACTTTCAAATACATTTTTTGCTGTGCTTTTCTATTTCATAATGTGATGGTATTAAAAAGGGAAAAAAATGAAGAGGTTTTGTAGCTTGGTAAAAGAGCAGGGATTACCTAGTGTGTTGGTGTTGTCTTTCCCTTAATATTCACGGAAACAATGACTCTGTCAGCACTTTTTAGCCTGGGACTGTACCTTTTCCACTACCTCCTAGTAGGTGTTTAATTTTTTTAATCAATTAAGTAGTTACTTAAAGTCTGATTTTCTCTAATCTCTGTGGGTGCTTTACTAAGAGATGGCTGAATGGTTCTCAATTTCACCTTTCTGTCAGAGCCACATTTAAAGAGTTCCTTCCTAATGGCAGTAACTTTTTCCTCTGTAAATTCATATTCATGCTTTCAGTGTAGCAGTTACAATAAACTGGTGATTGAGCAGCTGGTTGGAGGCTATGATGAGGTGTATTAAACGAGACTTTCTTTCTTCGCCTCAGCCTTCACCCACTATGTTTCAGTAGCACTATCGGTAAAAAAATGAGTGTTCATCAGTTGTGGGGTTTCTTTTCTTTTCTTTAGTGGCTGAAACTTACTTCTGATGATGTAAAGGAACAGATCTACAAGCTGGCTAAGAAAGGCCTGACTCCCTCGCAGATCGGTAAGGTTCATGAATAACTTAAACAGAGATAAAACACATTCTTCTGACTGTGATAATGTAATTGATCCTTTAATATGTATTGAATAACCTAAGAAAATACAGGTTTTCTGGTGTATCTATGTATTCACTGTATGGATATCACAGAAAATATAATATGTCGTATTCTTGCAAGAAGTGTATTTAGGGAAGTAGTTGAGTACTTTTTTTCCAAGCAGCAAATGTGAGGCATTTGTTCAGTTTTATAACCTGTCCTCAGGCATAGCTACTAAGAGATTTTATACAGAAGTTTAATCTGCCCAGTTTCTTGGAGAAAAACTTGGCTTCTCATCTCACATACCAGCAGCCCTGTGCTGAGGAGCTTACAGAACCAGGCACTGTAGATGCATAATTGGCTGATTCTCAGTTGTTTGGACCTCTCTAGAGCTCTGCTTAAGTGTGTACCTGCTGCAACTTTATATGGTCTTGAGTTCTGCAATGTGAATGATGTTTTTAAATAATTCATTTTGTGGTGATTCTGAGAGTATTCATTATCTCTGTGATACAGTATGTAGTTTTACAGTAAAGAGGGCTCTGACATCTTTGCTAACCATAGAGTAAAGGGTGATTGAATACTTAGCTTTAACGAGTCCTCTTGAAAATTTCCCTATAATACTGTAGCACATGTGTTACCTGCCTAAATGTGGTGGTTGGTTGAGTGCTCTCTGATACAGTGTTTCAGCTTCTGTAAGCTGTATTTTGCTCGCTCAGCCTGCCATTTGTTCACAGTTTCCACCAGAAACTGTGAAGATTTTTAATGAAAAAAAAAAAATTGGCTATCTTGTGAAACCAACCTTACAGTTACAAGATCTGTTTGTGTAAGGTTTTTCTTTTCAGTGTGAGATGTAAATGTTTGTTTCAGGTGTAATCCTGAGGGATTCCCATGGTGTTGCCCAGGTTCGCTTTGTTACTGGCAACAAAATTTTGAGAATCCTTAAATCGAAGGGCCTGGCCCCAGACCTACCTGAGGATCTTTATCACTTGATCAAGAAAGCTGTTGCTGTTCGCAAACATCTTGAGAGAAACAGAAAGGTAAGTGCCAATTTGATACTTTCTATAGTTGTTGGAGGTTTTTTCCCAAATAACGCGGTAGTTTCTTCAGAACTTCTGTTAGATTGGACTGTAAAACTGTGCAGGTGATTCTAATAGCATGTGTATGTGGCGAGCCCCCCCACTGTCCTATTAATTATGCATCTGCCCTGTTTGCTATCACTACTACATTTATTCATCTTTAAGTAAAATTCCAAGTAGGGAGTTCTACGTGTCTCTTTATTTAAAAATCTCAGTTTTATAGGGGAACTGGGTATTTTTCTACTTAGTAGTTGGGAAAAGAGGAAAGCAAAGACTTGTAGTGCGATTCCTGTTAGCCAGCCCTTTTGAGTAAACAAGAGAGAGGAGAATGGTGTTTGTCATTGTCTGTGAAAAGGATCTTAAATGCATTGCTTAAACCATGTATTTCTGGTCCTGTGCTGATTTTACCGGACTCGTTAGACTTTGGCAGTGGAAGTAGTTTGTAGCAGTAGGGGTGGATTCTTCTATTTTACCAAAGTTCATCTGACGTGTGCGTTACCGAGAAGTCAAACTGGTTCATGATTGTAATGTAACTTCTTTTCAAGGATAAAGACGCCAAGTTCCGCCTGATTCTGATTGAAAGCCGAATCCATAGGTTGGCTCGCTACTACAAAACTAAGAGAGTGCTGCCACCCAATTGGAAGTAGTAAGTCTTTCATGTTACTGCTTTTGCTGAGGTCTTGCAGGTTTTTTAAAGTATATGGTGGGGTTGCTATTCAAAGGGTAAGGAGTGCGTTGTAATCAGGCATATCAGTAAATTGGGCAGCAAGGATTAGGTATTTTCATAAATACTAACTGATAAATTAGTGGAATTTACTGCTAGGCAAAATGTCACAAAACTTGGGAAAAAATTAATGAGTGACATAATTACTGGGTAATTTTTATAATACTTCATACAAAGTGCAGTCTCTGATCTCACTCAGATACTTACATAGTTCAAATATATGGAGAGATTGCTTAGTAGCTGTGGCAAAAATGAAATACTTTGTAGTTCTTCTCTAGGAAGACTTAGCCAATGTAGGAGAATTCCCATAGATGTCAGCATGAGCTTTTTTCTGAAAAGTCTCACGTACAACTAGACAGGTTTTTAATATGTGGGTTTGTGCTGTTATCCTACTATTTGTATTTTAAAAGAAAGGTGAAATCTTCATGCTGTAAAATTTTTTACATGGGTAGTGATTAAGTTCAGGATCAGTAGTTAAAGCTTTGAACTGGAGCAGTGTTTTTGTCAACTAGTTTGAAAAACTGCCTCTGCAATTGATACTGTGCTCTTTTTTTTTCTCTCTTTAGTGAATCATCGACAGCTTCTGCCCTGGTTGCATAAGAGCTGGCTATGACTTACTGAAAAAATAAATCTTCATTAACTAAGTTTGTGTTGTCTCTAAATGGCTGGTGTCTTACAAGCTCTTGCTCATTTCAGCGAGCCACATGAATATTGACAGTTTTCAAGGTGGAGCAGGTGTCTGGCCATGGTTTCCATATTGTCCTAAAGTACCAAATGTGGGTAGTGGTTGTCGCTGTTCTAGACCAGCCATACTTCAACTGAATTTTTGGTCTTGTAGCCTCAAGTTAATAAAGTGACCAAGTGATTCACAGCAGATGTGTTGTATTCATGTGGAGCTGTGCCTCTGTGTCCTGCAGGAAGAACTGAGGGGAAAAAGGAATGACAAGAGGAAGAACTGGAAATTTAGAAAATGCAGAAATTATTAGGTGGCGGGAGGGGAGGAGGAGGGGAAAAACTGGAGAGGTTGATTAATTCATTGCATGTAATGTGGATCTGCTGATGGTGCAGAGAGCTTAAGCAGACTTTAACCAGTTCCTGACAGTAACTGTTGCTGATTTGTAATTTTAAGAATAATCTTTTGAGGTTTGGGTAAATATGAACAACAGCTCTCAGGTGTTACTCTTTACTGAGGTACTTTTCCCTAAACCTTAAGGGTAGCACCTATTGCATAGTCACTGTTGCTGAGGTGGTGCTTCTAGGTTCTACATAGCTTTGACCTTAAGAGTCATCTTTGTGCTGGAGGAATGTGGAGAACGGACTTCCTCCTTTAGGATAAAATTCATATGGAGTTACTCTGAGCTCTTTTGACTCTTGGTTGCTTTTAAGTCTTAATCACTGCTGAACTTTTTACCATATTAAAAATTGAAGTGAATTTAAATAAGCCCTAACATTTCTGTGAAGCAGCTGCTTTCTATATCATAACCAGTGGAACCTGGTAACTTCTGGGTTTAATTTTGCTGAAAGACAGGATTCCTCTGCCTTCATTGTGAAGCTAGATACAGACTTGTGTTTAAGACAGTTTTAAAAGAAGGGACTGCACTCCAGTTGAACTCTAAGATGCTCTGCTGTCTTGTCCATCTTAAAAGGTAAATCACCAACCTCCACATGCTGCCAAAATACTTATTTCATTTCTCAAAGCTTCTGGTGATTGTTTGCCAGACTCTCACAATGATAATTAACTGTTCTGGGATGTACATGTGAAAAAACCACTTTTGTGATACCAAAAACAAAACCCAAAAAGTTGCTGTGACTTGGGGTTGGAGATACTGCTAACTGAAAACCATCCTTTCACTATTCATCATTCTGCAACAGCTATATTTAAATAACAAAAGTACCAGCAGATGACACTTTGAAACAAGTGTTTTTAAGAAGTTATGTATAGCAAATAGTGCCACCTAGGGATCAAGGCTGACAGTCCAAGCCAGTGAACTCGTCATGCTGTGTATGTGGTGCCAGCTGATGCAATGGTTTTGAGCATGGTCGTGTTGAAGCTTGCACAGTTCTTGTATTTCATGCTACTGGGATGTTTTAGTCTGAACACAATCTCTACTGTGTTTCCTGGCACTGGTGTGCTAGAGGGGCTGAAAGTAGGCTGTGCTGTGTTGGTTTTTGCACATTTAGTGGTGCTGAAAACTGGACCTTGCTCAGGAGAAGGAAGGAGAAGAGGGTTGTTGCAGTGGTGGCATTTGTATTGCAGGCATGGAGGAGTACCACCGTGTAAATAAATGTCTTGTGCTGTGCTGTACTGTCAGCAATGGAAATTACCCAGGGACATATGGGACTTGCAGTAAGGTCAGATCCAGTTGTTCAAGGTACTTCTGAGGATGGAGAAAGAGAGTGGTATGCCATGTAAAATTGCTTGTAAAATTTGGCAATCTCTTGTTGAACAGTAATGGTATTGTGATTTCACTGTTATGTGCATGTATTCTTACGTTGCTAAAAGTTCAGTGTTTTCTGTAAATCGTATAGGCTAGCTTAAAGAAGTTTGCTCTCATTAAGGTTGTCAGTCCCTTACCCTGTGACTTCTGGAAGAGGTAGAGCACCAGTCACACTCATTTCCCCAGGGCATGCAGGTTGTCTGCTCAGCAGCTTGTGTGCCTCAGGGCAGTGCATGCCTGGCTGGCTCTGGGAACAGTTGAGCCAAGGCATTGGCGGGGTGAATCCTCCATTCAGAGTGGACCCCCTGTGAAGCACAATACAGAGCAACGCATTTGGAGAATGTGGTTCTGCAGTGTGTGTCTGAAGAGGAGTGCAGGACCAGGAGGAATGTGGTCCTATGGAAGTATCGGGTAAGTTCACCATTTGGGGCTGTGGTACAGGACTGTGCCTGAGTGAGAGTGAAACTGTTGCATGTGTACTCCTAAGTCTCCTACCATGTAGCTGAGAACCAGGGCTGGCCCAGCTCAGGAGTCGTGATCCGGCTGTTGGGTACAATACAGGCCATGGTTCCCTGGGAGAGTTCAGTGAAGTCTTTCCTGCTGCTCTGGGTAAAGGTACTATAACTTTTGTTGGCTGGAGAGATACAATAATGGGATTAAATCCAGACTTTAAAGCAATTGCCCAAAAATAATTATGTGAACCAGCACAAAGTGCCTCTGCCCCAGGATTCTCTCCAGGTACTACCCTGCCTTCCCTCTTCCCAGCAGCCTGGGGTGTTCTGCAGGCTTTGGGCCCCACTGTTCTTTTGCTTTCTCCCATCACAATGTCTTGTGTCTTTATGGTTGCTTTGACTTAACCTTCAGAAGCTATGCTCCTGTTTCTGCCTCATTCCTAACAGTCTTTTCTGAATTTCCAGCATTGCTCTTTTCCTCTTGCAGTAATTTTTGTTCTCCCAGAAGGTACAAAGCTGCCTACCCTTCTTCAGAGAGGTGCAGACATGGGGCCTCTGCCTCCACAGCGAACCATGGTATGTGGGGGCACCCTCAGCAGCCATGTGGGCACGCTGTGCTTTGCTGCTCTATCCCAGGCTTGCTCGCATGACAAGTTTGGTTCACAACAGCCTCCCACTAGACTTCAGCTCTTGTCAGCTCTGCAGCACTTCCAGGGCTGTGGGGTGTATGGCAGAGGCAGCTTCCCTTTGGTTGACGAACAGTGGGTTTTGAAGGATGACTGCTGAAACACCCTTTTCATTTGGCAGAGCCCCTGGTAGATGTGGTGTCTGCTATTCCCTGCAAAGGTTTGTTACAGGGTTTGGAGGAAAACGATGGAGAAGTCACGGCTGGGTTGCTGAGGGTGGTAAGGAGAGAACTGGTTTTCTTCAGGTCTGAAGCATTGAGTTCTCTATTGGATGTGGCACAGGGAGGTGGGACAAGGGCTTTCTTTGAGTTATAGGTTGGTTTTAATATGCAGATTCCTAGTCCTTTCTAATCCATGTTTTTCTTGGGAGTGTGAAGGTCTTCCCTCTTGCCTTTTTTTGACTTTGGCTTGCACCTTTTCCCTGCCCCCTACAAGTTTCTGTGCTCTAGGTGTTCACCCTCACACTTCTAGCTGTGTGTCTGAGTTCCTGTAAAGGAAATTTCCCCCTCTTTTTTTTGCAAATGAGTCAAGCCAGTTTTTTCTTCCGTTCCTTCAGGTGACGTGAGTTTGGCTTACCCTGATTTGATTCAGCTAGGGCAGCATTCAAATGTGTGAACGTGACTTCATGTTTTCTTCACTTCGGCAGTTCATCCTGGAGTGGTAAGTCCAGAAAGGTGAGTCTTTATTCCTCTGGTTAAATCAATAGGTGATTGATGGCACACAGTTTCTACCTTTATTTTTAAGAGAGAATTTGAGGTGACTGTTAAGTATGGGAAAGATTAATCCTGACAGGGATTCGAGGGAAAGTTTTGATTCATTCATGTCCAGAGGACACTTGGAGTGCTAGATGTTCATTCTGAAAGATTTTTGTGGTGTGTGACTGGTTACCTTGTGGAGGCAAATAAACCATCTCTTACTTCTGAATATTTCTAGTTGTCAGTTCCTGTTTCCTATTTTCTCACAGACCTACTTGTAAACTTCTATTAATTTATTTCAAATAAGGAGACTTAAACACAAGTTATTCTGGTGCCAAGTCACTACCACTGCTGGAAACCATTAATTTCCCTACCTGAAAAGGGCAAAACAAGTCAACCGAGCTATAATAATAACAATCAGAAAAGGCAATACATTATTTGGATTTAGAAATGTATGGCTGCAAGTGTAAACTCTTCTGATCTTTCCAGAAAACTGAGCTTCTAAAGGGTGTTTTCAGTTGCGTTTTCTGCCGGTAAACTTTTCACAGTTTTTAACTCAAAATCATTGCATGTGAGTTAATCCAAAATAGGGAAATGTGAATGAAACATATCTTTAGATTTTTCTGAGGGAGGGTTTGTGTGTCACTTTCTTCCACTGTTTGCAGTATCACTTACAGATTGTGGAAAAGAAATGTAGTTAAAAAGCACTACACGTGTTTCTCAGGACTCAAGGGCCAGTTTTCCTATTGCTGTTCAAATAAAGAGCAGTAGGGCCTACTGAATTCACCAAAGGTAGGTTTGGTATTTCCATAGGTCTGGGATAGCTGGTGGTTTTGGCTTAGACCAATGCTGCTTTCATGTTCATGCAGTTTTTTGTTTCCTTTTCAATGCTGGGATCAAACTAGTGAAAAAATGTGCTCTGATGCTGGGAAGTCCCTTCAATAACAGCATAATTTGCATGACAATACATTGTAGTGCTCTGGTAACCTCCCTCTGCCAGCACATACCTTGGCAACAGGAAATGGTTCAGCAATGTTCACTGCACAAATGAGATGTCTGTGAGTGTCCGGTTCTTGCTCTTGAGGATTTCTGGACATAAATGCAGCTGAATAAATTAAGGCTTCCCTTTTTACTCTCCACTCTCTCCTGTTTTGGGGATAAATTTTACTTCTCTTTACAAATCTGTAACTCTTGCAATGAACAGTGTTGCTGACTGGTGTGAGTTCTTCCCTGACGCCACAGCATTTATTAAAGCCGTTAACCAGCACAGATGCAGTAACTGGAGCTGAATCAATATAAAAGGATAACGTTAATGGCATAGCAACACGTATTGGATATGACGATAAATGGTAGCATCGTCCTACAGGGTTTGG